GGTGAAATTCAGTTAGACAGACTTGATTTGTTTCTAATTCTCAGTCTTTAAAATGCAAATAGTCATCATGACTCTCCCAAAGGGGAAAAAGGATTACAACATCTTCTAAATTTACTGAACCATGGTATTTTCTCTCGGTCATTGTCTTAGACGAGGATTTGCAGGAACATACCTAGAGGTATGCTGGTAAGATGGTTTCGACAAAGCTTTTTTTTTTTTTTAAGAATTATTTATTTCACTTTATTTATCCATTTATTTATTTATTTACTTTAATTTGACCAGAGAGGGACAGAGTGTGAGAGAGAGAGACAAAGCTAGAAAGCAAGCCACCAGGTCCAGGACTTGAACTGTGGTTGGTCATATGGGAGTCCAGTGCCCCAAGACATCACACCACCTGCCAAACCTGACAAAACTTCTTTTTTTTTGTTGTAGAGAGGTTTTTGCTATAGGGTGCATGCACTTGCCAGAGAGACAGAGAGAGATAGAGAGACAGAAAGCGAGAAATCACCCCCCAGGGGGGATGGCCATGCCGCAATCCCTTCTCCTCCACTCTCCTCTCGGGATCTTGGGCACGCACACACACGTGCACGGCATGAGTTTAAGCCACTGAGTCCGGGATTTGAACCACAGGCAACTACATGGGAGTTCAGCGATTACGCTAACTGCTGGTCCCGAAACTTCTTAACCCTGGCTACATCACAGAATCTCTCATGGCACTTCATTAAAAAAAATAATAATAAAGCTTTCTGGACTCAACCCCAGAACCTCTAGGAAAAAGGCCCTTGCAACTCTAGGCTTTAAAAGGCCGTTCTAGACATTTGGCTGTATAGCCAGAGCAGATAACCACTGCATCATAGGAATGATGTGGATTCCAGAGGGCCTAGGTTCAGGTCCAGGTGTCACAGATAGTCCTATGTATGTTATTTTTAAAAAGTAAATTAATTGAGATGTCTTAGTTTTCTCATCAATAAAATAAGAAGTCACACCCACTTGCCGGTATGTTTTTAGGTCCAGAATAGTTAAATGAAATAATGAAGTAAAACAAAGCATGTAGTAGATGCTATTTCCAATTTATAATCTTAAATCATAAAACGATCTGCTTTCTCAGCCTTTTAGGCTTATGCCAACAAATCGTTGCCCATCTCCAACAAGTAAGTATGAAGTAACTGTGGATTCTCGTGCCTGTGATACGCACGGGGCACGCTGGACTTCACTGTACTTAGGGCAAAGGTCTGAAAGATACGGTCAGACATCAACAGAGATGGTTATAAGCTTCTTTTCTTTTCTTTTTACAATCACATCCCTCTCATGTCTTCTGGAAACAAGTTTTCAATCTTTTGAGCTGTATACAATCTCCACTTTCCAAGACATCATTGAAGTCAGCCCAAGAGACTGAAAAGTGGTCTGAGAGAATAAATAAAACAGTGTCAACGTGGTTCACGGGCTTGCACTCATTCTATACTGTGCAAAGGTCTGGTATCTGGCCCGAAGATATTGTGAGGCTCTGCTACTGAGGAAACGTTATCCAAAATATTTTAAGGGTTGTTTCTATTGACTACTTCTATAAGGGCAGATGTAAAGGGAGTTTTATAGGCATTCTAACATTTGGTGTCTTCATGTACCTTTTCTTTTTTTAATACTCCTTTCAGTTTCTCATTCCATGAAATAGATTTTAAAATGTAATACCGTAAGTGTGCATGTATGTGTTTATATGTATGTGTGTTTACATATGCGTGTGTGTGAGTGATGACAGGTGCCTCCAGGGAGGAACGAATGTACGAATTTAGCTCAGAGAGGTACATTTGTGTATGAATGGAAAGGTATAGATAATTCTAGCCTCATAAACGGATGCTACTCCAAAGTTCATTTGTAAGTCAGTAGTTCAGAACTTGGAACACATTTTCTCATAAAGGAAATGTTCTGCACAGTGGATAGAGTCCCGGGCCAGCCCACAAGAGCTTGTTTAACTCATATGGCACCTGAAGCCGACCAAATGATTAACTCTAGAGAACAGTTTCCGTGAGAACAACACTTCGAAACTGCATGGTTTAAGGGTGAGAAACACTGAGTATAAAATTGTAACCATTCTCCTCAGTCACCCCTCTAGTTCCTTTAATGAGTTACTAAAAGAAGATATTCACAAACTATTTCTTGACTATGTTAAGTTAAAATGATATTTTTCCCTGCGTATTTTATGTACTTTGAAACTTGAGGAAAAGGAGTACCTAGAGTGAGGGAATAGTTTCTCTTCCTGTTACGGAGTGACTTCGAATCTGGTTTCTCGTCAGGCTGTTTCCTGGCTGCTCTCCGCACGCCGGTGCAGGCTGCGGCAGCACAGAGGCAGCAGTCCCTGGCGTGACATTCGTTTTCCCATCCAAAGTGTAAACTTGCTTTTTCTACGATATCTCTACCTTTGCCTGAGGTTTTTGAAACTTGCCTTATACTTTAAAGGAATCTGGAATAACTAAGTAATGAAATATATTCTAGGTCACACCAACCACAGGAATCAGAAATTTTCCAACTACACAATACACAGATTATGCTAGAAGTTGTATAAATAGATCACAGAATCACAGGGCTGGAAAGAACCTTAAAAGATTGTCTAGTCTATTCCCTGGCTTCCAGACAAGCCAACCATTCCAAACGGATGAGAACGAACATACATTTTAAAGGAGAATGATGGCTTTGTCTGTAACCTTTTCTGGATCTGACAACCTTGACGCTGTTACTCAATTATTCATTTTAATCTAAATTATTCCATTCACAGTTATAGTTGTAATTTCCAATGTTTCCTCCTCTTAGGAAATAGTAGACTTATCTGTGTAAAGCCTCATGCACGTTTAAATATTATATTTTGTTTTCTTTCCTCTAGGATATTCTTGGACATCCAATGCCTAATCCTTTAGCTACCTCTACCTTCCCTAGTCTCTAGGCTTGTCTGTACTTTCCAGCTGTGGGAGCTCAAATGCGGTGACTCCATTTTATGGGGCATCTGAGAACTTTGGCTTGCTCACACAGACATATTTAAATATAATCTGACAAGTAGGCTCTAAGACTAAGACCCCACAGAAAACCAAATACAATAATTACAATAAAATTATAATGACATAGACCTTATTGTTTATTTGCTTTTGGGTAGTTATTAATGAAAGGACTTAAATCACCCTAAACATATTAACTCTTCATCATGTAAAGAAGTCCAAGAGTGGGACCAGCAGGTGTCATGGTGGTTGGGGTGCTGGACTCCCACATGGCTGACCATGGTTCAAGTCCTGGACCTGGTGGCTTGCTTTCTCACTTTCCTTGTCTCTCTCTCTCTTGTGAGTTCATGTGTCCTATAGCAAATTTAAAAAATAATAACAATAATAAATATAATTAAATATTTTAAAAATTCAAAGAGAACTTATGCCTATTAAGCAAAGTTTTGTATAAAATACAATTTTTATCTTTCTCTTTTACTTTGCTATGGGGAAGTGTGTTTGCAACAGAGAGAGAGAGAGAGAGGTGGAAAGCAAGAAAGTACCACCCCCAGGAGGTACACCGATACTTTCTTGTCCATGCTTCTCTAGGGATTTTGGGCACACACTAACACATGCCCAGTATATTTTTTAAGCCACCAGGTTTGAGACTTGAACCACAACAGTCAGCCATGTGGGATCCAGCTGCCTTAACCACTATGCCACCAGCTGGAACACTGTGGCATTTTCAAATGCCACCAAATATAATTATTTCTATGGAGAAGCTACTACAGGATCTGAGGTAATCTCAACTTTTTTTTTTTTTTTTTCTGATTGGTAATGGTTATTTAACTGTTGGTACTGGTAGTGACTATTTAAGCTGGATACTTAGAGGCTTCAATGGAAGTTTTCAAAGGAATTGGCATTTTGATCCTTATATTATAAAAGACACTAAACCTACTGGCTTTAGAGTGAGTACTGTTGGCTATTTTACTATCTCAAACCAGTCTCACTTTCTCCCAAGACAAAAAGAGAAAGATGGGGTTCGTAAATTAAAAATGAAATTCTTTGCTTATGAGGTTCTCAATGTGTCAAAGGTAAGGATAATGTCCAAAAGAAATGAACATGGGTGGAAATTTTATGATTATGATGTCAGTCTGATAGTTAACCATGTGTCTTGTTTACTCCCACACCCAAGTACTAGACCACTCACTGGATGACCGTCGTGGATGGCTGCTTTTCCTAAGTATCTAAGAGGACAGGAACAACTTTCTGAGATCAGGCTGAGAAGATAGACCTTGAAAGAAGGTCCGAGAACACTATGCCTAAGTTTCCTACATTAGCAAGGCACCTCCATGGAGACGGTGGCCCCCTGTACCTCCTACACAGGTACACAGCAAACTCTACCTTCAAAACCACCCTGTAGAGGGCAGCACTTCCCCACCCCATCCCCCTCTCCATGCTCCCAGCACATCCACTTGCATGGCTCAGCAATATGAGAGCAATATTGTTTCTGTGAAGAGGGTAATTCTTTTGTTGCTCTTAACTCCAAGATCCTCTGCGCTTATAGGAGAAAACACATGTCCCTCTTCAACCAATCCAATTCCTGGCATAAAGACTGTTTTTAATCTTTACTATAACCACAAAGAATTAGGACACTGTTGAGAAAACACAGAGGAAGAAATAAATATTAAAAGAAAATTTTCTCATTTTGGTTGTGAAGAGGTCAACATGCTTTACAGCTCAGTGGTGTAACTATTTGAGATTCCTCAATTGCTAATTGTAGCTAAACAGACAATGACAAATGCATGCAGTCCTTCATCAATCCTAATAAAAGCATCCCTCCAGGGAAACTTTCTGGTTTATAGAGTTCCTGCAGAACCCTTCTTTTAATTGCTTTCCACTCTGACAAAAATAAATACAGCATGAAACTGGAGCTCTGGCATTCATTCTAGGAGTTTGGAAGAAGTCCTATAAGACACCCACGGGTTACACAAATACATGTAGTAAAATACAATTTAACAATGGGTAGAGTCAACTTACTTGTTCATTTTTAGTAAGCCTAGTTTTGTTGTGAATGTCTGATGTGACCAAATTGAATCCATGCTTCTCTGATAAGATTCTCAGAAGCAAGACCACAGTGCGACTCCCACACTTGCCAACTCTGTTGTATACCACCTGGCTCGGGAAAGGCAGTACCTGCAAGAACAGGAGAATGGGCATAAAACATTTTCATTATAATACTCATGGTTCTCTCCTCCATTTCAGAATAATACATTTTTGATAAGGCGAAATCAGAAAAGTCTGTATCAGTTTAATAAAAACAGAAACAATAAGCTAGTGTTCATTTATTTTTACAGTGCAAGAGACAAATGCTGATTTATTATCTTTCTATCTGCATGGATACTTAATACTGGCAACATTTCACACAGTCTGTAAGATTGTTTATGAAGCGTCTTTGTTTCTTCTTAAGAGCAAACTCTATAAATAAGAGCTTTAATGTAATCTCTTTTACAAGTCATATTGCTTTTATGAGAACAACTTAATTTGTAGAGTGACCAAGGAACTATGGTAATTAAAAAAATTGAGATATAATTACATACTGTAAAAGTCTCCCTTTTAAAATGTATAATTCACTAGTTTTTAGTATATGCACTAAGTTTGCAGCCAATCACCTTATCTAATTCCAGCACTTTTTCATCACCTTCAGAGGAAACACACAGTCGCTTTATATATCAGCCAGTACCCTCTACCCCTAGAAACAATTTATCTACTTTGCATCTCCCTAATTCTGCCTATGGAATTCTGGGAATTTCACATAAATGGAATCATAAAATATACGGCCTTTGTGTCTGGCTTCTTTTATTCATAATGTTGTTCCAGATTCATCCTTGTTGCATAACTCGATAATTCATTCTATTACTTGGCTGAATGATGTTACGTTGTATGGATATATCACAATTTTGTTCATATAGTCATTGGTTGATGAACATGTGAATTGTTTCCAGTTTTTGGCTATTATGAATAATGCTGCTATAAACATTTGTATATAGGTTTATGTGTGGGTGTCTGTTTTTCATTTTCTTGGGTACATATCTAGGAATGGAATTACTGGATCATAAGTTAACCCTGTGCTTAATTTTTTTGAAGACATCCAAACTTTTCAATACAATTACACTATTTTATATTTCTACCAGCAATGTAAATTCCAATAAAAAATACAATTTCTCCACCTCCTTGCCAATACATTATTGGCTTTTTATATTATTATTATTATTATAGTCATCCTAGTGAGTGTAAAATGGTAAATCATTGTGGTTTTGATTTATATTTCTCTAGTGACTAACAATTTTTTGTTATGCGTTTATTGGTCATTTGTATAATTTCTTTGGAGAAATGTCTTTTCAAATTCTTTGCCTAACTTAAAATTGTATTTTTATTGTTGAACAGTTCTATATACATGCTGGCATTAAAAATATATGATTTGTAAATATTTTCTCTGGTTCTGTGGGTTGTCTTTTCACTTTTTCAATAGTGTCCACTGCAGCACAAACGTTTTGAATTTTGATAGTTTAATTTATTTAATTTTTCTTTAGTTGCTTGTGCTTTTAGTGTCACATCTAAGAAACCATTGCCTAATGCAAGATCAAAAAGGTACACATCAGTGTTTTCTCCTAAGAGTTTTATAAGTTCAGTTCTAACATTTAGGTCTTTTGACATATTTTGAGTTAATTTTGTGTATGGTGTGAGCTAAATGTTGTCTAACTTCACTCTTTTGCATGTGGATATCCAGTTTCCTGGCCCCATTTGTTGAAAAGACTATTCTTTCTCCTTTTAACTATTTGACACCTTTGTCAAAAATCCATTAACATCAATGTATAGATTTATTTCTGGACTCTCAATTTTATTCTGTTGATCTATACATTTATCTTTATGATAGTACCAACAGTATTGATTATTATAGCTTTGTTATAAGGTTTTAAATTAGAAAGGTACTTGTTCTCTTTTTAAAGATTGTTGTGGCTATTCTGGTTCCCTTGAATTTTAGGATTAGTTTGCCAATATCTGCAAAAAAGGCAGTTGAGATTTATTTTTTTGGAGAGGATTTTTTGTTTGTTTGTTTGTTTGTTTTGCTATAGGGCGCTTGTGCTTGCCAGAAAGACAGAGAGACAAAGAGACAGGAAGCGAGAAATCACACCCCAGGGGAGATGGTCACGCCACAATCCCTTCTCCTCCATTCTCTTCTCGGGATCTTGGCACGCATGCACATTTGCCCAGCATGAGTTTAAGCCACCAGATCTGGGACTTGAACTGTGGTCGGCTACATGGGAGTCCAGCAACATAGCCATTACACCAACTGCTGGTCCTGGCAGTTGAGATTTTGACAAGGTTTATACAGAGTCTGTAGATTACTTTGGGAACTACTGACAACTTAATATTATGTAGTCCAATTCATGAACATAGGATGTTTTTCCTTATTTTTAGTTCTCCTTTATTTTATTGATGTTTTGTAGTTTTCAGTGTACAAGCCTTATACTCCTTCTGTTGAATTTATTATTTTTGATATCATTATAACTGGAATTATTTTCCTTATGTCATTTTTGGACTGATTGCTCACTGACAGAAATATAACTGGTTTCCCTCTATTGATCTTATATTCTGCAATCTTGCTGAACTTAATTATTAGTTCTAATAGTATTTTCTGTGGATTATTTATGATTTTTTTATACATACGATCACGTCATCACAGAGAAATTTTTACTTCTTCCTTTCTAATATGCATGCCTTTTATTTCTTTTTCTTTTCTAATTGCCTAGTAGTAGTGATTTTCATATACTAGGATGCTATTATGAAAAGCATCTGTGAGTATTTATATCCCCCAAAAGATGTTATTTACATTTTGAATGCTTAATATTGAAATGACATTTATCCGTGAGACTTTATTAATGAGACTGTCCATTATAACTAGGCTAGAGTCTAGACAACAGTTATGATAGAACTGCCAAGATAAGCACAAGGTTTAATCCCTCTGTTGAAATAAATTGCTCATTTGGGATAGAATCTTTTTTTTTTCTTGTCTTATAAGCACAGCACCAAACAAGGGAGAATTTGTTACCTCTGAAATGATGACCCAGCAGATGTGAGTTACCATTTAAGCAAGTTCTCTATTCCAAGAATGCAAGTATATCTTTGAAGATATAAATGAAAAAGGAAGGCAAGGTGCTTAAGTGAAATCATTTTAGTCATTTTGAATTGCTTAATTGCTTGGGAAATTAACACAGTAAGAGTCTTAGTATCTATCTTATTCTTTTTACTAATAACCATGATGTTACCTGGCTTTAGCTTATTAGTTCATTTATTTTTAAAAGATGTTAATGCCAATTTTTTCATCAGTCTTGTGGCAAGCTCCCAATTAATGGTTACAAATATTTGTGATTTAGAAAGAACACTCATATAAAAACAAATAAATCCCTGCATTGTTCCTGTAGCTGCATCTATAATCATAATTGACTCCATTCTGATCATTTCTCTAAACACCAATACATGCCTACATGAACGTAGATCTAGGAAGTGTGTTTCATGTAGTTTCTGGCACCAGGCTTGTGATGTTAAAGACAACTCATGCACCACAGTAAACATAAACCTCTTCCAAATTTTAATTTTCTAAAAGAAACTATGTAATACACTGAAAATAGGCAAACGATGCAGGCTAAACAGAAGTACTGAAGTTGAATAAGATGTAAAAATGAACAGTACTAGAGCATCTTGCTCTTGGTAGAACTAGAGAATCACTTCCGAAGGCCTGCTTTAATATCATTATCACATCTTTTACTTGAAATGTGTGTTCTGAAATGATGGCCAAAGAAGGGACTGATTTTCATGGAGGGCTGACCCTGTCCCAGGTCCTGTGCCATGTAAACCCTTTTAGTCTTTGTTAAGAATACTGAGTCAGGGACCACAGATGGCATAATGGTTACATTGCCGGGCTCCCACATAGTCAGCCTGGTTTGAATCCTGGACCTGGCGGCTTAAACTCACGCCAAGAGAATGTGCATGTGTGCCCAAAGTCCCAAGAGGAGAATGGAAGAGAAGAGATTGCACTGTGGTCATCCTTCTTTGGGGGTGATTTCTCCCTTTTTGTCTCTTTGTCTCTCTCTGACAAGCTCACATGACCCCTATAGTGAAAATGTCTCTGGTGAAGTATATGTGAAACTCTAAATACCTAGGGATGTCTATCTAGACAAGCAAATACCCTCAAATGATAAACTTAAAAGCAGTGTAGAGACTGCCTCAGATCAGCCTCAGAAGCCTTGTCTTCTTCAGTTGATACTTGCCAGTTATCAAATTGAGAACTCTGTCTTCCATTTTAATGTGCCTATTATCTATCATTCACAGACAATTCTGGATTCTTTTTCTATTGTTTTATTGAGGAGTAGACACCAAAAACCCTCATCTCCCCCACCGCAAATGATTATTCTTGGCATCTATGGTTATCTGAGTGTTACATCTGTGGGCTTCTATTTTATGGCCAACTTGTTAGAGTGAAGGGGCCTGCAGAATATTTCACTCTATGAATTATATATTTTTATGCTGCCTGCCTAGTAAGTTCTACAAATGCCACAAATCTCCAGAGCCTGACAAGCCTGTGTGGAGCATGCCAAGTAAACAGAAATCTTTCCAAAACTCTGAGCACAACAGTAACTACCACCAGATGATATCCAAGTTTAATTGCTTATCTTCTCTTTGAAGGTAAGGGGAGAAAGAAGACGTAGGTAAAAAAGCAAACTTGGTCTGAATCAAGACTTTCACAGTCTATGATTATAGGGCTCTTCTGGTAATTAATATTTTAGGAAGAATTATCATCAGTGTTGTTTTAAATCTTTGAAAAATTACATTTAACAGACTATTTTATAAACTCTGGTTCCCAAATGGCGGTATATTCAAATTTAAATTCCCTTGAAAAAAAAATTTTTTAAAGGAGTCCCATCTATCAAGAGCTTTTTTTTACTATTATTTTTCTAAGAATCACTTTATTTCTTTTATTTATTTATTTATTTATTTGATTAGAGAGAGAGAGAGAGAGAGAGAGAGAGGAGTGAGAGAGAAAGCTAGAAAGCAAGCTACCAGGTCCGGGACTTGAACCCAGCGCCCTGCCGGCGCCCCCTTGAAGTAGTTTTTGAATGCAGGTGGAGTGGTGG